AAATGTCGTACTGAAAGTCAGACACGGTATTTATTATTAAAAAAATTAAATTTTAATAATAAAATGCCGCCCCGAAATTCGGACGTGACATTTATTAGTAAAAAAATAATTTTTATTAATTTTTTATATAAAAATGCTACCCCAAAAGACGGACGTAAATTTTTGTTAAAAAATAACAATTTTGTTGTTTTTTTAACATTAAAACGCTGTTCTGAACGTCAAAGGCGAATTTTTGTTAAAACAAAACAAAATTGTTGTTTTTAACATTAAATCGCCATTCTGAACATTGGAGGTGGATTTTTGTTAAAAAAATAACAAAATTGTTGTTTTTTAACATTAAAACGCCATTCCGAACGTGCCAGATCTGATTAAATTATTTATAATAGCTTTATAATAAATATAATAAAAAATCATTAAAATCTATTGAAATTTACTGTAATATTTAAGGATTGAAAGAATCTGAAAGTCTTAGACATATGCAATATAATGAAGATACAGTCGGAGGCAGATTTTTATTAAAAAATATTTTTGATCTGTTGGATACGGATATGGATTTGGATTTATCGAATTCAGATACGGATTCAGATTTGGATTTGTCAGATTCAGATCGAATCGGATTTGGATTTTTCAGATTCATATTAAATCAGATTTTACCCAAATCTGATCTGATTTGATCTGTGCGGAACACTAAGTGCAATCATTAAGACTAATTTTATGCAATTTAACAATTTACATCAAAAATTCTTACTTAATAAAATTTAAGTGTAGAAATATTTTTCAGTAGGCTGACTACTCAAAAAATGATACTGAATTCTAATTTTTCTCAGTATGACAATTTTAACAAGCTAAAATTCATTCAAATTAGATCAGTAGATCAATAAAAAATTGATAAAGAAGATTACTATATATCATATAAAAAATTTTTTAATATTTTTATTAAGTACACATTAATGGTAAATATTAGATACATACCCTTCAATAAAATGATACGACTTACAACACGTTAATATTATCATAATATCCCTTTGGTATAATTTTCAACCCAGTGTAAATTTGCATTAAACCTAGATGAATGGGTTTCATTATTGAGTAGATTGCTAAACTACTAAACCTTATAGTAGAGTATTATGGTACCCGTTATTATTCATATTTATCATAACTACTAAAAGAGAGTCAAAAATAACCTAAGATAATAGCTTACATCATAGTTGCAACACTATATATCAAAATTACCTCAAGAATTGAACTCAAACCTTTAAACCTAATTATGATATAGGCATTATAATGATTGAAGACAGTGCAATATTAACCACCTATAACCTGTGACTATTATTTAATCTAAGTTATATAGTACTTACTATTGATCCTACCCTCATAAGTATCATTTGCAAACAATGTGACACTTGTCTATTACAGACTAATCCAATTGGTTCACTATGCATTAAGTTACTTATCACTAAAGATGGAGTTGTAATTAATTTTAAAATTTTTAACTAGTTGCAACTATTTATACATTTTTATATTAAAATAAATTTTGCAAGGAGTTACAACCAGTTGCAACCCAAGTTGCAACTTACCGAGTTGCAACTTCTTAATTACAGTGCCATCTTTACTTATCACTATTACTTATTATCAAGGCAGTGTGTAGATGAAGCGATCTTACACAATGTTAGCTACTATTTTTTATATAAATAATTATCAAATGGTCATTTTATTTTACAATTTTATGATCTCAATATACATAGTTTGTATGCATCCTATAAAATTCATTCCAAGAATTGAACTAGTAAATCCTATAAATTAATTTATTATGATCTGCCTTAGCTCATATAAAAAATTTAGTTAAGCTTTTTTATATGATATGTAATGATCTTCTTTATCAATTTTTTGCTGATCTACTTGATCTACTGATCTGATTTGGACGAATTATAGCTTATTATAATTATTGCACTGAGAAGAATCAGAATATAGTATCAGTTTTTGAGTGGTTGGTCTACTAAAAATATTTTTCTATACTTAAATTTTATTAGTAAGAATTTTTGATGTAGATTGCTAAATTACGCAAAATTGGTCTTAATAATTGCACTTCAAATTTTTACTGAATATTAGCTAGATTTTGAGGTTTAAATAAATACAAAATTATATTTCTAGAATTTGTAGTTAGTAGATTATAAGCTTTTAAAGGCAAGCAATTCTACTTGCGTTTCTTTGAAAGCTACTATATATTATGTTTTACTATATTATATAAGATTAATAATAAACAAAAAGTTAATGAAAAATGAAAATTGTCATCAAATGTGATATTTCATTTGAATGTGAAATTTGTTATTGATTGATGAAAAATTGTATTTGAATATGATATTTTACTTTAAATAAACAAAAATTACCTTCAAATTGATGAAATTTATCATTGATTGATGAAACTCATATTTGAATATGATATTTTGTTTTGAATTGATAAAAATCACCTTTGAATATAAAATTCATCTTTAAAATAACGAATTTTATACTGATTATTAAAGCATTATAATAAATCATTATAATGGATTTTATTATGATTCATTGTAATGAATTTCATAATGAATAACTTAACAAAATTTATTATGATTTGTTTAAATAAAAATCATTATAATGAATCATTATAATGAATTTTATAACAAATTACTCAATAAAATTTGTTACGATTTATTTAAATAAAAATTGATATAATAATTTGTTATAATAATTGTTGTACAATTTATTATTATGAATTTTGTAATGAATCGTTTAATGAAGCTCATTATGATTCTTTATTATAAATTTCATAATAAATTGTTCAACGAAATTCATTATAACTAATTTAAATGAAAATCATTATAACAAATTATTATAACAATTTTTTTTATAATTCATAGAAACAAATTTCATAACAAATCGCTTAATCAGTTTATTATAATTCGTTTAAATGAAAATTATATAACGAATCATTATAAATTTCATTACAATTTATTATTACTAATTTTATAACAAATTATTCAATAAAATTTGTTATGATTCATTTAATGAAATTTATATAATGAATCATTATAATAAATCATTATAATAATTTATTACGATTCATTATAATGAATTTTATAACGAATCGTTCAATAAAATTTTTTATGATTTGTTAATGAAAACTGAAATGAATCATTAAATAAAATTCGTTTAATAAAATCTATAATAAATTATTTAATGAAATTTATTACAATTTGTTTAAATAAAATTGTATAATGAAATTCATAACATATTATTATATCAAACTGATAATGAATTTCATTACGGATGATTAACAAATCTTGTTAACAAAACTTGTTAGTAAATTATTACCAATTGGTAAATTCTAATTGAATAATAATCATCAATTAGATATTAAACTGATTGATAACTAATTATTAATTGAACCCGATTTGTTACTATTGAACATATAGTTTTAAATATATTAAAATAAATATAAAATTAGATTGGAATCCAATTTATGTAATTCTATCTAATTATTATGAATCAGGTATTAACTGATTTATACCCAAATGTAGTATCTACTGATTTCTATCTGATCAGAAAATAGTGACCAATCAGAAAGGTATCTGATTGATCAGTATTAGACCTGTGGTTGGTAATACATACTGAATTTATAGACATATAAATGGTGATTTATATTGCCAAATTTTGAAGGAAGATCTTTTAGGCATGGAATGAATAAAGATAATATTATTTTTCAACAAGATAATGATCATAGATTAAAGTTCTTGATTGGCTAGCACAGTCCCCTAACTTAAACCCAATAGAACACCTTTAGAATGAAATGGACTGTTGTCTGAGGCGGCTTGAAACACCTGTTAGAACACAGGATCAGTTGTCAAATACAATTCAAAAAATTTGGATTAAATTGGGGTCCGATGTACAGTATGCAAAAAGTTGGTTTATACTAGGGTATCCAGATTTGTTGGTCACGATTTTGTGTTGACGACATTCAAATTTGATTGGGTGATTTAGTCGACCACATGATCAAAATTTTGATCCACGGAAATTATGTTGATTTCAGCCGGAATTATAATCGCGATTTTGCGATAAAATCACGCGCGAATTTTGAACCATCCCGCTAGTTGATACTATGCCAACTCGTATAAATGATGTAATAAAGGCTATAAATAATAATTTACCAAAGTTTAATGTAAAAAAATCGTTTTTTTAAATGTTTTTTTTTTATAATAAAATATCGGTCAAAAGAAAAGCATCGCATAATTTACATTAAATAAATATTTTTTAAAGTTTTGATTTTATTACTGTGCAATAATTTTTATATCACTAAATAGACTCGTTATGAAGAATTTTCGTAATACTGCGCCTTCTAATTCACGAGATATTGACCGCCACTGCGGTAATTTAGGCAAGTCGTCATGTTGACACAATTTTTTTTTTTGGAAAATTAAACTAATTATTATAATAAAATATCTATCTATATTAAGACAAAGTACACTAATACGTCATAACCAGATCATTATTTACTTATAAAAATTATCCAATATATTCATTGCATAGATATGAAAGTTTAATCAAATGAGTAATAAATCATAAAATGAATTATTTCGTTCTAATGATGATTGTAAAACCTGTATATTTTTTTCTCGAGTTGAATCAAATTTTTTTTTTTTTGTACATTTAGGTACTCAGAAAATAAATTGAAAATAAAAGCAAATTAAAAAAATGTCTAACCCCAATTTTTTTTTTACCCATTTAAATCTATTAATGAAGAACGAAAAATTCTAAATAATCCCTCACAGAAACACGACAAATTAATAAGATAAAAACGATATTAATGTTATGTTCAATTGTGAAGGTATATGTTGAAATTGACTCATAAAAAAATGGCATTTTTTTAATTTAGTGTGGGAAAAAAAAATAGTCAATGGGAGGAGAAATAAGAACTAAAGGAAAGCAATTCAACTGTGATTATATATGAACTTTTGGTTATATTGATATCATCGACCTAGAGGTGGTGAAACGATAGGAACGGGTTTGTAACGTTCAGCAAACTCAATTCTCCTAAAAATTATAATGAATCGAGAATTGTAAGTACAAATTTTTTTTTTATTGATATATAATGATCATTTTCTATACTTACGCATACCACGCGCCTTTTATGATTTAAATTATTAATTAAAAGGAATATTTAGAAATATAATATTTAAATGGTTGGTAAAGGAAAAAATGGAAAAAAAATGGGCATTTGCAAAAAAAAAAAAAAACCAACCTCCAAGCAAAGTCAAAAAGATTCCAAGGCCGTTGGTCGGCGTTATAGTTAAATTAAATATCACAACCGCCAAAATAATTGACAAGACCTGTTTAACATTACCAGCCACGGTCATGGTCAAAGCTGACGTTTTTTTGTTTGCCGTGAAACTTACAACATTCAGAAAAAAGGCAATGACGCCATTTGTAACAAGGGCGAAAACTAAAGAAGTTGTCATTTCGGTACGGCTAAATGCACGTACTCTATGCAATTCGCCGGTTACGTAAGCATAAATTACAGTTTGGACAAAAGCTAAAGGAGACATACGCAACAATAGATCTAAAGGATGGAGCTTAAGACGACCAACTTGAACACGATTTGTAACGACAGTTTTTAAAGCAGCCAATACTGTGCCTAGAATGGTTAGGAAGAAACCTAAAAAAAAAAAATTGTCAACATGGAATAAAGACAATCCTTTTAGATTAATTCAAACTTACCCATTTTTGTAAAATAATAATCACCCACCGTTGCAAACGCAACTCCCAAAACAACCTAATAAACAAAAAAAAAAAACTTTAATTTCTTAATTTTTATATTAATTATTTTTTTTTTTCAAAAAAAAAAAATAATTTTAAATTACAAATATTTAATTCCTCACCGGAAGCAATGAAATATATGTCTTGGTTGAGAAGTTCTTTTTTAGAAAGAGAATAGAGAGTATGATCGTAAAAATCGGCGTCATTGCGCGGACCACTTGATGAAACTAAAAAATGGGATCAATATTAATGAGATTTAAGAAAATGTTCAAGAAAATTTGCTCAAAAAATCTACAATTCTCTTTGATAATAACTTACCGGCACAGTAACCAAATGTCTTTTTAATCATTCATTCATGAGGAACGATGTCGAGAGAAAAAAAAAAGGAAATGAGTACAAGTTGTATGTTCATAGACAAATTAATCAATCAATCAACAAAATCGGATCGAACTCTCCCGTTACATAAGTATAATGTCATTAAAACTACCTTACTAACAGCATCTCTAGTATTAACTATAACTTCTAACTTCGAAACCCACTAATACTCCAAGCGCTAACAATATCCAAAGTCATAAAGTAAAAAAAAAAAAAAAACAAAAATAAAAAAGTAAAATAGAATTACTTACAATGATACATTACTGATAGCAATATTTATAGTATATAAGACCGAAAACAACAGCATCACCATACTTTCACGTTCATTCAAACGGGCAGGTGTGAATATTCCCATCCAATAGAACAAGTAGGATCCAATCGCACCACATAAAGCGTGCACTCCAGTTAATGTCCACGGAAATGGGAAATCGTATAACTGCATGACAGCCTTGTTATATAATGTCAGGGCGAGATTAAGGAAAAAATAAAGGGAAAGCCACACATAAGATGTGTCTAATACATTTAGGTCCGCCATTTGGATCGGAATTGTCGAACGACTAAATTGACTACTCATCGGATTTTAAAGAGAGTCAACGATGCAAGGTCAGACCAGATGTGCCTGAGAATAGTTGGGTTGAAATAGACTTGCTTGGAGTATATGGGCTATTGTAAAATAGATTTTTTTTTTACTCTTCCAGAGAGATTTTTTTTGTTTCGATATAAATAAAACCAATTGGATAATGCATTCAAATAGGCTTAACAATAAAACAATAAAACCAATCACTATTTGGCATGTCTATTATTAGGATTACCCAAAAAAATAATTTACTGTAAAATATCAGATATAACGATAACATTACGTCATAACAAAAAAAGAGCAAATTTAATTTTTAAATAATTTTTTACGTCATACCAAAAAAAAGGGAGAAAATTTTATTTTAAATAATTTTTTTTTTGCTCTTTTTAAAAGGAGCATGAAAAAACGACAATTGTGTTACATCATTATAATTCGATCGATATGTATAAATAATTAGAAACCTTATTTGTTCATCTCATTGTAACCTAAGTTTTCGTGAAAGAAATTTTTTTTTTTTTTTAGCTTAATCCGTGCATATAAATAAATCGTATCATTCAATAAAATAAGATTTACCAATTCTTCGGCGGCTGTAGGATGTATCGCGACTGTATTATCGAAATCTTCTTTTTTAGCACCCATTTTTAAGGCGACCGAGAATCCTTGTAACTGTGAAAAGCACGTGGCATAGAATTTCAATAAATCAACATGACATGTGAATCATGTTCCATTACAATATGTGCAGATAAATAAAATGTTACGTACTATTTCGGCAGAGTCTCTTCCGATAAGATGAATACCGACAACCTTTTCATCTTCACCAACGACAATAAGTTTATAAGCCGTTGCTGGTTCTAATATATAACGGAAACAAAATTAATCTTAAATGCTTTGTGTCACATTAAGAAACAATCTCCAACTTACTTTGTTCCGTCATCGCGCTATACATATTCACAAACTTGGAAGAATAAGCCTTAACATTTTCATCACCATATTTTTTTCGAGCCTCCGGTTCAGTAAGACCCACCGAACCACAAGTTCCATGAAACACGACGGTAGGGATATCATTATAATCAAGTTTAAGATTCTTAAATTTTGGAGGACCAAAAAGCCTATCCGACAATCGACGTCCAGCTGCGATTGCGACTATGAATTCACAAATCCATCATTGTTTAACCCAACCGCAATATATTCATGTATTAAATATAGTCATTTGGCGTGAAGAAAAAAAAAAGCAGCTTTACCAGGTGTTAGCTGTGCAATTCCGCAAACGTCGCCCAAAGCATAAATTTCTTCGATATCCGTTTTTTGATATTCATCAGCCACAATGTACCCTTTTTCATTTAATTTCACCCCAACGCTGTCCAGGTTTAAAGCTTTAACATTTGGTTCTCTTCCAATTGCCCATAAAAGAACATCAAATTCTTCGGTTGTATCGTTGGTTTCTTTGGAAGTGAATTGTACTTTAAGAGGCCCACTTGGTGAATCGCGTGATAGACTTGTAACATGAGCATTAGTTAAAACTCGCATCCCCTCCTTTTTTGATTGATCGAGAAGTGTATCTTTGATAATTGGATCAAAAGTACGTAAAATCTCACCCGAACGAGAGACCAACGTAGTATCACTGCCTACATATAAAGTTAAGTTAATCATGAAAAAAAAAAATGCGAAAACTGATGATGGCTTGAGAATTATTGTATTTACACACCTAAAGTATTAAAGATACCGGCCAATTCGACGCCAATATATCCGGTACCAACGACCATAACCTTTTTCGGCTGTTCTTCAAGATCGAAGAAACCATCACTTGTTATACCAAGTTCCGCACCAGGTATTTCATCAGGAATACGTGGATGACCACCTATGACGATTTAAGAAATATTATTTTTTTTTTTTTGATTTTAAAAAAAAAGAAAGGTAATGAATATCAGCACCTGTAGCAATCAATATTTGCTTTGCTCCAACCTCTTCGAAGTTTCCATTATGTTCCACTTTCAAAACATTTTTGCTTACGAAACTAGCCTTTCCTTCAATGTAATCAACTTTGTCCTTGGCTAGATTATTAGAATAAATCCCGTTAAGACGTTTTATATACGCGTCTCGCTTTTGTTTAAGGTAATTCCAATTGAAATTTGGGATTGATGGTAAATCGAAACCGTATTGCTTTGCATCATGGAGAGCTTCAGCGACGGAAGCTGTAAAATGAAAAATGAAAGATAAAAGATAAACCAAATTTTTTATAAATTGTGTGTAAAGTAAATTGACCATTAATATGTGTATACTACGTACCGGTATTAAACATGACCTTTTTTGGAACGCAGCCAACGTTCACGCAAGTTCCACCCAGGCGTCCACTCGACTCTACCAAACCTACCTTCAAGCCATAAGAGCCAGCGCGCCTGGCCGAAGCCAAACCACCACTTCCTCCACCAATAACCAAATAATCATATTGCTTGCTTGGTGTAATTGGAGGCATAGTTGCGAAAGTTTTATAAAGTTGTAAGATACGGTTATTAGCCAGCAAGGTTTCTGTCTTTATATGAACTCTAATTAATGAGTAAATTGAAAAGCGTGATAAAGACATCCAAAACCCACCTGTACAGTAATCCCTCTCCAAAAAAAAGTTATTTATAATCAAATCGCAGATCAATGATCGGCGTATTGGTAGAATTTGGATCGCGATCCGATCTCGGTCGAAATCTGAAAGGTTGGCCGGATCGGTCCGTCGCGATAACAAAAAATTAAGAATAGATAATTTCTAATTTAAACTAGGAATCATCTTACGAGATATTAATATAATTATATAAATTGTAAGCCATATTTCTAAAAATAAGAAAAATAAATTAAAATACGTTCATATTTAATAAAATATGGAAACCCATAAAATATTCGGTTAAAATGAGATAATCGCACAAATGCGTCTTAAAATTAGACAAGGACACGTAACTATGCAAATGATTGTACAAAAATAACTTTGTTATATTTTATGCTCACTTATACTCATTTTGGAGGAGAAAGATCGTTCGCTGCGGCATTATTTGCACTAGTAATGAAAATTTAGATATTAAAAATAAACAAATAATAAATAATCTTTCATCATTACGCTTTGTTTAAAATTATAAAATCTACTGATTTCGGTTAATTTTATGTTTTGACATTTTTTTTGTCTTAAGATATTTTTTTTTTGTACTAAAGTTATTAAATATTCAAATTATCGGTCTAAAGGTCGGCCTTTAAAGATCGGCCTTATCGACGTATTAGATAATAAGATGATGTGCAAGCCCGATTAACTATTAGAGCAATAATTATTCAAACTATAAAATGACCATTTTTGACATGAATTTCAATATAAAAAATTTTTTGACACCTTTTATGATTAAACGATTTGCTTTTTTTTTTTTTTTTTTTTCATAGTACAAAATGGTGATTCACTTGAATGAATAATATATATTTTATAAAAAACACAAATATTTGGTAGATGAATTGAATGATTAGAAATTTTTTTATTTTTTTTTTCCTTTAATGGTCATACCTCAAAATTTCATAAACATTTTTTGGTCGTCAACTGGTACAGATTATGCGTTGTACCGATTTCCGAATTCGGGAGGCGGTGGCGCGTTGGAATATATCGGGAGGAAAATTCAAAATTTGGACATCCGATAATTGTTCTTCCGATATGGAAATGTGCATTGTTAATATTTTGCTTTCCTGTGCCGTAGATGATTTGTCATAAATAAATCAAATTAAATATATTCAAAATTTATAAAGTAAGTGATCGAGAATGATTTCATGTGAGCAATTCGACGCAAGAAAAATTAACCGATCGGAAACACACTTGTCTTTCAAGAAAAGAAAAATCAATTACCCAATCACTGCGTGATGATTAATTGGATTTTCATAATTCATGATATTTTTGGTTAATTCGGATGAGAAAATATGAAAAATCGCGCGAAACAGCAAGGATTATACAAAAATAGAACGCAGGTTTTAATTTCATTAAATATGAGCAGGTAAATGGTCTCTGCAATAAATTAATGATAAATGCATTCATGTATTAGATAAATTAAAATTTCCGTTTTAATATTTCAAACAAGAATTGTGGAAAAGAGTTTCCGAATTTAAAGAAATACGTGAAATCAAAAAATAATCGTCATTTGTTATTCATTGTCTTACGTTGATCATAATAGTAAAAGAATATATGGTAACGCACTAACGCAGTTGAGAACTCCATAATTGGTTGCATGATTCCAGAAATAGGACATCAAAGACCGGTTTGTTTACACTCGGTTTGCTTGCAATAATCTTAGCAAATATAAACAGCCAACAATTCTATAAACGTTAAACAAATATTTTCTCGGTGTGACATCCGAAAATCTTAGTTAATCACCGACTCTTTATCGTGGAGTAACAACAAGTTTCGCTCAATCTAGTTTTAAAAGATTATTTTTTTTTGGTCATTCAATTCTTTTACCCGTAAACGCGATGTTATTGAATCATGTGAAAATTCTTACCATTTACAATGCCTATTTTATTCAATGTTTTGATTGAAGTTAGATTTCAATGTATCACATCCTCATGCCACAGGTTTCCATCCAGTAATCGAGGAATTTTCCTGTAAATTATCACAATGAAGAAAGAAAAAGGGACTAAAATCATCGATATGGAATCATTTAAATTGTGGTACAAAAGCAAATTGATTTAATGATATTTCCGGGTTAGGGATAGTAATAATCAAATGATGTCAAAAATCAAATCGGAGGACGGAAAATTCAATGAATTCATTAATTAGAATGTAGTATATTTTCCCTTTTAAACAAAGAGAAGCATTTTATCTTTGTAATTAATATTACTAAAAAGAAAGATTCGAGTAATTGATCTCACCAAGAGAAGGATCCATGTGCCTGCTTTTATATTTCTTAATTTATTGATTAACTTTTTAATGCATCAAATTAAGATAATGTACTTTTTTACCTTTTTTTTTTTTTTTTTTAACATTATCAACTTTTTGGTAATTGTATTACTTTTCTTTCATTGAATTGGTAATTTGTGACTTTGATGAATTTCAGGAAACTATCGGACTTAATAACTCCTGGTTTGATTTAGTAGATTTCTTATATAAATCGTTAAATCGAGACGGATCGTTTTCTTTTTATTTTCCCCCTCTAGTTATTAATTCTTAACGCGTTTCTATATTACAATTCTTCGAACACTTCGGTGAACATTTTTTTTTTAAAAATTAAAAAAAAAAGAGATCGATTTTATGAAACGCAATTAACAAAGTTCGCGAATAAATCAAACCTTTCTCATCGATACAAATTATTACGCGCTCGTCATTTTAAATTACAACTTAATCATTTTTGCAATACAACTTGGTCATCCTTCCTATCTCACTCTTTATTTTTTTGCCTGCTAATACGCAAAAAAAAAAATGTCACATTCTTCCCAAACCACTTTATCTTTATCGGCGCTACAAAACATGTTTAAGAAAAAGATTTCTATCAAAAAGGAAGGCGATGGAAATGAAATTCACAACTTTAAATTCGTTCCTAGTGATACTAAAAAGGACATCCACGAAGTAATTTCTAAATGTTTCGAAATGGATTGTTATTCGCTTCGTGATTACGAAGGAAATTTTATTACCGGAAGTTATGAATCTTTGGAGAAAGATAAATCATATGATATAATCGATCGTAACGAAAGCAAATTGAGAAGTTCTCATACCTATCACGATGGGACTAACGAAAGTATCAATTCTAGTGGAAGCAAGAGCAATGAAATTGAACATGTAAATCAGGTGAATTATTATTATTTTAAATATTATGATTTTGCATATCATATGAATTATTACGTATCAAAATTCGAATAAATATAATAGCAATTCATTAGTCCTCTTTATTCCCATCCATCACAGGAAAAAAAACGTAAAACCAAACGGTCTAATGAACCAGCGGATAATAATCCAGGTAATCACCCAAAGGCAAGTTATAAAAAAAAACCAAAGTCCACGCAACAACCTAGGGCTTGCTCAAGGTGTCGTCGTATCAAAAAGCGTTGCGATCGACAAAGACCTTGCGGGCTTTGTGTCAAATCAAGCTTGGCAAACGCTTGTGACGTCACTAAAATCGGCTACAAAGAACAAAACTGAACTATTTTGGGGTTTTTGTTTAAAAATTTTAAATCTTTGGTTTTTTCTCCTTTTTATTAGAACGAACGTGATCAACAATTTGGTGATGAAATTACCACTTTTTTTTTTTATGTATTAAAATCGAATGTGTGAACTTTTTATTTTTTTTACAATTATTTTATATTAAATGATTTACGCAATTTCATCTTTTTTAAGCATTCTTTATATGTACAAATATGATAAGCTTGATTCTTTTTAAGGTTGGATAAAAACCGAATACTCAAAAAAGGGTTTATTAAAAAAAAAATAAGAAATTATGATTATCAAGGTTGTGGCGTTTCATGATTGTTTCCAAGATGGGCGTTTAGTCGTGGCGGCACTTCAGCCACATCGAATTCTCTTTTTTTTTCCGACAGGTTTGTTTGGAGAAGTATTTCCGAATTAATAAAATGATAAAAATTTTATTCTAAAGAGTACCTTTATTATATTAATTCGTGAAGATAATGTGATAAATTACAAATGAAAAAAAAAAAGATTGTAAAATATGAATTCTTTATTTAAAAAGGGAATCCTCATTCTCTTAGGGTCCTAATTTCCGAAGGACAAGCGTATGGTCATACCAAAGATTTACGCCCTATGGCATGTGCTTCAAACACGAAGTCCTTAAAAAAATCTCATTCTCGATTATACGTAACAATCACGCGTCCCTGTCGACATAAATAGAATTAATTATGAAAGTTGAATCAAACCTCCGAACCAATCAACGAAACTTTTTTATTCAAAAAAAATTCCCTTTGTAATAAAGAACGCTTGAACGCATTCACTAGACTTTCAATCTATAAAAGGCAATTAGTTGAATTACATTTCTTTGTTTGAAGGTTGTAAAATATAATGTTGGAAAGGTGTTGGAAGAATGGTAAATGAAGGTCACAAATGGATATACAGTAGATCAAATCCAAATTCTTATCTTGTATCACATACATGTATATCACATAGTACCTACCGGTGACATATAAGAGGTACAAAGCTGTAAAAACCGCAGTATTTTAGATTCGAAAAATTATTTATTTTAAATAATTTCTATTATTCTAGCTCTCTAAAAAAAATCAAATAACAAGTCAAAAATTATATTAATTGAAGCCTATGATATGAGAAAATGATGATCTTTTCTCTTGGCAAGATCTGAAGTTTTTCTATTGGTTGTAAATATTTCGATCGTAGTAATAAAAGTAATAAAGTTCCGAAATTATATATATAACTTAAATTAAAAGTTTGTTGGAAAGGTTACATCATATCATGGTTCCCAATAATACAAAATTTTACGTGATATTTCTTTATTTAACCTATAGTTAAATCTAATAAAATTCTAGGGTCATTATTGTCAATTAAATTTCACGCTTGCCAAAAAATCACATGATAAAACTTAATTCTATCAGTATCGAGGGAAGTTATTTTGTTTACTAAAATTGAAAATTGCATTACTAATCTTTCATATGAATTTATAAATATATGATCTAAGCCTCTAAACGACTAAGCCTCATTAATCGTATAAAAATGCCTCTTCCATTAAAGAAAAAATTATTTTATTATTTTAGCATTATTCTTTCTTTCCTTTTTTTAAGAAAAAAATAAAATACACCTTGTCTTTCAAGTTTTATTTAACGAGATCATAAATTTGTGGCGTAGCAAACAATGAAATCTTATCATATAATAATAATGATCATGATTTTAATACCGATAATCCAAATTCATACTTTTCCAACATTATACGGTTCAAGGGAACCCGAATTTCGTTCTATTATTGTAAAATATCCAAAAGAATCATCATCTTTTAAAATTGGATCCAAACAATTCATTGAATGGAAATCCACATTACCCCATTCCAGTAAATATTATTTATTATTTTATCTTTAAATCATTATGTGAAACTATTATTGATGTCTCGTTTTGATAAAGCTGAAGTTGTTGTAGAAATATTGAGTTCTCCACGTTATGAGTTCAGTCCTCCTGAAATCATTTGGAAAACCACCGCCGTAAGTTATTCATAAATGTCTTCATTTGAATCTCACTACCAATCATCCATTAATTGTACTTTATAATAATTAGAGTGTTGGTAATGGAAAGGTTTCATTTATTGTAGGACAATGGTTTTATTATAATATTTATAATGCCAGAGTTTATACTCAAAATCATCCTCGAATAACTGGTACTTCTGGTCATTTCACCATCCATTCTCTACCAATACAATCATAATTTTAGGTTTAGTCATTCAAAACGGGTTGAAGAAATTTTGATATGAACGTGATTTATTTAATAAAATCAAAAAAAAAAAAAAAAAAAAAAATGGTACAATTCATATTAATCAGATCGTATTCTGTGAACGTAATTCTGAGGATTTCGTATGTGATTATAATAATATTTAGCACATTGCTTAGCTGATCTCGTTTTAATAATTGTTGAAATTTTCTTCCATTGATTTCCATGTTCTTTGTAAGCTTTCATAAAACTCGAGATTTCCATTTCTTCCCAATGTCCAATATTAACATATGGATTCGAACTAGAGGATTGGGTATAATGATCCTTGATCTCATACTTCGTTCGATATGGAAATAATTTTGTGATTTTATCCCAATCTTCACCATAGTCCAGAATAGCATTTTTTAATTTGATGTTTTCTTCGGTCGTCCAAGGATTACTATGAATCCTTTCATATCGAGTTCTAATACTTGTACTCGGTCTATCTAAAATCTCACTAAGTAATTTCCATCGTCTCCCATGTTTATCAATTAAATCTAACAAGGTTTGGTCTTCTTCTTTTGTCCATTTCCCTCGCTTTTTCTTTGATAAGAGGTACCACCTATGTGCTACTTGATTTCGATCTTTATCATTAAATAATTTTGATATAATCATCCATTTTCCGATACCATGTTCTTCCACTCCTTTTTCAAGTATTTTATCTTCTTCAGGAGTCCATTTATTATAATAAGAAGGTCTTAGTTGACTTAATATAGAATTCCCCCACTTTATATTCAATGAATTTGGATTTCGTTCAGAATTAAAATATTGTTTTGATATATATGTCCACTTTTTACCGTGCTTTTCTATCGCATCTTGAAGAGTATCAAATTCTTCTTTGGACCAAGCCTTTCTTTTAATTTGAACCGTTTCTTCGGTTTCTTCGATTTGTGATTCATTCTCGTTTGTTTTTGAAATTTCATTTTTAACCAAGGTTGATTGAAATTTATATAAATTTAAAATTAAATTATTGGAGGTTCTATTGATTATATAATACCAATGAATTTTATTTGTTGATGGTTTAATGTCATTAAAAATGGATGTAAATCGAAGCATTATGAATTGTCAACGAAAAAGTATGAGTGGGTTTTTTCAATTTTTTTCGTGATACAATACGTAAATCTTTGCATTTTGTGTATCATGATGCAGATAATCCGACCGAGTATATTTTCTTTTAAATCATGCATATACTTTTCAAAAAATGCTTAAATTATATGTATATCGATTAAGGTTAACTCATTTCTTACCGGTTTTTTTTATTGCACTGTAATGACTTTCTTTACTTTGATTTCGTATTTAATTCCTTTTTCCGCTTGCTTTTTTTTTAGATTTCTTCTTACATTTCATTGTTTATGTTACAATCATTTAACCACATTAATTTAATAACAGGATCGAATGTTCAATTTGTAAAATTTGTAACAGCAATATTTTAAAAAATTATGATAACAGAATGTAGAAAAATAACTAGTAAATGTTTTCACGAATTCGAAATATGAAAAAAAAAAAAAAGCAAATTGAATATGGTAGTAGATGTTCATTTCTCTGAAGAATTATAGGAGCATTAGTAAGAAAGATTTTTGCAGTCAGAGACTAACTTTTGATGGTAGAGATTATTGATTATTAATTTTAAATAATGACTAAGTTTATGGAGTTAAGAAGCTATTTAATTCGATTGAATAAAATAAAAAGAATAATGTTTTGAATTAAAAATGTAGTGAAAATTTTAATAATAAATGATAATGACTTAACATCTTGAATAGTAAGATTTAATAATATTATTTTAAATTGCTAGGATGATAAATAAAATTTAATTTAATATGTAATAATAGTCAATAGGGTAAAGAAATCTGAATCTCTTAAAAATAATAGTAATAATAATAAAAGCTTAATAAAATAATATATATAAGTTAAAATAAATCAAATTCAACCTTATACTATTCTAAACTAACAATCCAATTAAAAAAAGGAAACTCAACTATTCAGATTAAATGGCTTGATTGCTATCTATCCAAAAAATTTGTCTAGTCATTATTATATTTAAAGAAAAAGATAAAAGAAGAAGAAATTTATAAGAAGAAGAAGAAGTATGAGAAACTGTTATTAGTTTATTTAGAATTTTTATTAATTGATATGATATCAGCAAGTTTTTTAATTTGATAAAAAGTTTACATCAATCTTTTCAAATATTGTATGCAACAATAAAGGTTTAGTAAAAATGTGTAAAAGTAATAAATTAGTAATAATTAAATTAGAATCCCAGAAATCTCTAATAGAAATCATATTAAATTTTAACAAATTAGTCTAAATTTAACTTAAAGTCTTAATTTAAGTTTTAGCGAATTAATACCAATTTAATATAAAATCAAATTTTAAGTTTTAGAAAAAAGAAAATTTATTTGATATATCTATGCAAAATTGAAAAATCTTTTCTATATACAGTCAAACCTTGATATAGCGAACCCTTGATATAGTGAATTTTTAAATCAAATATATTAAAATTACCTTTACTATAGTGAACTAGCCAATTAAATTCTTTAAAAAATTTGTTATAAGCTTATAACGAAGTTGATATCCAGATCCTAAAATTCGTTATATTAAGAGTTTACTGTATTCTCATTATAATAATGTTCGAATAGTACATTAAATTTAAAAAATGTGACTAACTTATTATAGATTTAAATTATTAGTAGATTTTATATATTTTATATAGTCATCAGCTTTTATTGATTCATAAAAAATTAGTTATCACTTAAGATTAGATTTACATACAATATATTTATGAAAAAGTTATTAGATATTTGCTTGATTTACATTAATATAAATTTTTTGATAAAAAAATCTGGTCAATTAATTAATAAATTTTTTGAAGAAAATAAAATCAATTTAAATATATGTTTTTTAGTTATCTGCTTAACATATATGATGATACTATTTTAATTTATGAATTTTTAATTCATTTTTACATAAATTTTTTTATATAAGATTTTATTATATGGGAGGTTTGCTAGGAAAATGGGGCTCTGAGACTAAAAAATTTTTTTGAATAAATTAAAAAATCAAAATAAAC